CCCCCCCCTCCCACACACACACCACAGGTTCTCCCCACCAAGACTCAGTGGATTGCTCCGCCTCCGCCCGGCCCACATGCGGGTAGCAGGCATTGCCCTGCCCGCTGCACCTGCACCTTGGACCTGGGGGTAGCCGCTGGCAAGGGGTGTCGGGTCCGCCCCAGTGTTGCTGGTGTCTGATCCCCACTCCCCCACCCTCTGGCAGGGAGCGAGTTCTCCGGCAACCCGTACAGCCACCCCCAGTACACCGCCTACAACGAGGCTTGGAGATTCAGCAACCCCGCCTTACTAAGTGAGTACGCCACCTGGCTGGCCCGCGCGGCTCAGCGCGTCCGCCCGCCGGCGGGCTACGCGGAGCTGCTTCTGGACGCGTCCTACTCCCCGCCATCTGACCTTTGGGTGCCGGCCGGCAGGCTCGTTAGTGCATCACTGAGGGCCGGGATCCCTTGAGGATGCCCACGCCTCCCTCCCTTCCTTGCTCTCTCCTCCCCTCCCTCCCGGATCCCTAGAAGGCCCTGCGCCGCCCCCACCCTCGACCCCCCTGGAAGGTCTGCAATAGGGTAGCGGGGGTCCCTGATCGAGTCCCTCTCCCACCCAGTGATGCAGCTCTCCTGGAGACAACCGTGCCCGTGCCCGCAGTCCAGCCAAAGTCTCCCTGCCGGGATCCCGCCAGACCCCAGCCCTGGGAGGTCTTTTCTTTGCTTTTCTTTCCTTTTTTGTTCTCCTGTTTGTCCTCTCACCCAGCCCATTCTTCTCCTGTGTTAACTTCCAGGTTCCCCTTATTATTATAGTGCCGCCCCCCGGGGCTCCGCCCCTGCCGCTGCTGCCGCTGCCTATGACCGCCACTAGTTACCGCGGGGACCACATCAAGCTTCAGGCCGACAGCTTCGGCCTTCACATCGTCCCCGTCTGACCGCCCACCCCGGAGGGAGGGAGGACCGATGCGACGCGAAGCCTCTCGCCACTGCCCCAGCCCCATCCCCACCCAGAAAGCCTGCAGCCCTTCACGTCACCCCGTCGAAGGCCAGACAGGACGAGTGGAGCCGTGGGCGGGACCCTCAGGCCTGGGCCCGCAGCCCCCAACCCCGCCCGCCTCCCCTCCCCGCCTGCCTGGACTGCACCTCGCAGCGAGGAGGGCCTGACCCAGCTCATCCGGCCTCGCCCGAGCCGGCTGGGAGTACCAGCCACAACGTCTGACTCTGGCCAGGCCCGCCGCTGTGCGCGGGGACACGTTTCTGTGACACACAATCAGCGCGGACTGCAGCGCGGCCCAGCCCCGGAGCAGCCCGCCTCGGAAGCTCCGGCGCCAGGAGGCCTCGCTGGAGGGACTGGGCAAAGGAAATTAAGAACAAAATGATTTTCTGCAGAAGGAGTAAGAGCCTCCTGCCGAACCCTCGGGAAAAAGTCCTTACCCCCGTGCCACCGGACTGCCACCACCTTCCGAGTGTGCCCTGGCCCAGGCAGGAGGTGGAATGGAATGGGGGCATGGGGGCTGGGCTCTAGGGACAAAGGTTGGGTTCTTCAGGTCTTTCCAAGGTTGGGACCCAAGGCAAGGAGGCCCCAGAAGCCCGCACCCACCGAACCGTACCCTTGGCTCTTCCCTACTCCATCTGAACTGCCCAGGCACCTTCTAGTGACCAGACTCTCAGCCCCACCTTGCCCCTACCTCAGCGTCTCAGCCATCTGCTGACCTCCCAGTCTCCCCTGATACCAGTCCTTTTCCCATCGCTCTGCATCTCTGCTCCCTAACTCGCTGCCCCATCGGAGGCTTTCCTGTGCCTGCCGCAGGACCAGTTCCCACAGGCCTTGGGCACTGGTCTTTCCCAGCAGTTACTTGATGTCCCTCCCCCGACACAGACTCGCTATCTGCGGGTGATAGGAGTAGGTTCTGAGCTGGCGTCTGAGCTGCGGAGGGGTGGAAGTGGAGGTCGCCCACTCCCCGCCCCGCCCCCCGCCCCCGCCCCCAGCCTCCTCCTCCGGCAGAAACTGAACGGAACCGCAAAAAAGTCTACATCTATTTAATATGATGGTCTTTGCAAAAAGGAAAAAACAAAACAAAAACCCAACAGGCTGCTGCTTTGTAGAAAGACGGTGTGTGTCGTGTGAAGGCGAACCCGTGTATATAACCCCGCCCCGTCCGCCCCGCCCTGCCCAGTAGAGTCCCCGCTGCCCGCCAGCCCTGCCTGTAGATGCGCCCCGCTGTCTGTGCTGTGAGAGTCGCCGCTCGCTGGGGGGGGGAGGGGGGGAGGGACACAGCTACACACCCACTAAAGCACAGCACGTCCTGGGGGAGGGTGGCATTTTTTATGTTACAAAAAAAAATTACAAAAGAAATCTCTATGCAAAATGACGAACATGGTCCTGTGGACTCCTCTCGCCTCTGTTTTGTTGGCTATTTCTCTGTAATTCCGTGTGTTCGCGCTCTCCTCCGCATCTCTCTCTTGCGCATCTCTCCCCTCTCTCCATTTCTCTTTTCCCATCTGTCTCTGTCTCTCTCCGTCTTTGTCCCTCTGTCTCTGTCCCTCCCTCGGCCTCTCTCCCCAGCCCCATCCCGGCAGCCTTGCCCTCGCAGCCTAGATCAGAGGTGGCAGCTCCACCCCCGGGCTTGTCCCCTCGCGGCCGTGCCCCGCGCGCCCTGGGCCGCCGGCGGCCGGGCCGCCCAGCCCCGTAGTTGCTCTCTCGGTAGCGGCGATGCGCCCTGCATGTCTCCTCACCCGTGGATCGTGACGACTCGAAATAACAGAAACAAACTCAATAAAAGTGAAAATAAATAAATAAAAATCCTTGAACAAATGCGAAAAGGCTTGGAGTCCTCGCCCAGATCTCTCTCCCCTTCGAGCCTTTTTATTTGAAAAGGAAAACGAGAAAAGAGAATAGTTTAAGGGAACTGTCGGCGCCCAGCCAGGCTCCAGTGGCCCAAGCTGGACGGCAGGGAGCCGAGGTTTGAACTCTGAGGGCCGGCCCATCCCAGCCTTGCAGGGCTGGAGGGTCAGGGTCCTCAGAACCAGGACCCAGCGAAGCCTCAGAGAGCCCCCGACAGCTTTGGTCTCCTTGGCCACTTTCAGCGCGTCGGTTCGTTTTGATTCTTTTCTTTTTCTTTCTTTTTTTTGTGCACATGATAAATAAATAATAATAAATAATAATAATAAATAATAATAATAATAAAATTTTGTATGTCACTCCCCATGGCTCCAGGTTTGTCTCTCCCTGTCTCTGGGACAGGCCTTCTCTCACGCTGGTCGATCCCAAATAACCCCCTCAATGACCTTCCCAACTACTTTCCCGCTGCGACCCCCCATCCCATCCCTTTGCCAAGACTCTCTTGGGGGCAGCTGAAAGCAGGCGAAAGTCGAGATAAGTGGGCTCTTCAGTCGCCACCCTGTCCCACCTGCCTGGCACTTGGGGCAAGGAGCTTTCCAAAACTTCAGAGTAACCTCCAATTACGCGTCTGCCTCTCCACCCGCGCCCAGATTTAGGTTTCAGGCTCTCGGAACGACGCCGGAGACCCTCTCCCGGTGGGTAGGGCGTTGTTTGCTGTCCTGTCTCTCCTCCGCTTCCCGCGCAGCCGCAATTTTATCCCCCAAATCCGCCTAGAGACCGCGGAGGCCGCAAACGCTTGTCACAAGTTCCCTCGCCGCGCATATTGTTCCGGGCGCAGACAGTGCCCAGCCCCGCGGAGCCCCGGGGAGAACCTGCCGGCTCCCGGGATCTCGCGCGCCCCCTGTGTCTTGCGGAGTCCTGGGCCCTGGAGACCAGCAGCTATAGGATTGGTTGTTTGAGTACGTCCCCAGAGGGAGAGCAGGAATCTGTCTTTCTGTCAGTCGGTGCCTCCATTTCTACTCTATATGTCCGTGGGTGGCTCTGGTGGTGGGGAAGTGGGAGAACTGTTTGCTTTTTCAGACACTCTTACTGTTGTGCCCGGGAGTCCAGTGAAGGATTTGTGTATGTCCTGTGTCTCTGTTCCTGTTTGGGGAGGGATGGAGTGATTGTCCAGGAATTGTCCAGGGGGGCATCTGAGATACTTGGAAGGGATCCCCTCTCTATCCCTTCACCTTCCAACTCCAGCCCTCCCTGAAAGGCCGCAGCCTCCACCTGATCTCTGCCCTTGGAGACTTTTCTTTTCTGCCCCTGGGAAAACTTCCCAGCTCATTTTCCAGCTCAGCCTCCTCCCACTTGATGCACTGAGCTGTCAGGGATAGCTGGGGGAGAAAGGGGGCAGCAAGCAGGACCTGCAGGCCGGCTAAGGAGTGGCCTTCTGCCTTGGCTGGGGCTGGTGTGTCCCAGACACCTCCTTCCCACCAGGATCCCAGAGGCTTTTCTTTCTCCAAGCCCAGCTTCACCCCCATCATGTCACTTTAGGAGGATACACAGCATCCGCAATGAATCAGCAAGCCCCTAGTCAAGTCCAGCCCCTTCCTCCTTCTTCTCACCTGTGTCCCCTCCCTAGTTCCCATCTCAGTAAATGACAGTCCACCTTCCCCTTCCACCCTGCACGGTGCTGCCCCTCTTGACCATCAGTCTCCTAGAAGAGTAGTCTTCAAACTTCTTTGCTCATATGCCCTATTAGTAAAAAGAACTCTTAATGCATACTCCCAATATAATATTCATATTTTTATTTATATAGTTAAATATTTACTTATTTATAAATTGCATAAATGTGCTATCAAACTAACATATTACGAATTTTATAAGACACAAAATAGAAAAAGGATGAAATTGGAATACATAAACATAGAAGTTCTAATGTTCTCTTCTCATGCCTAAATGAATTATCTTGCCCCCCCACCCCGCCGAAGATGTACACCCCACTTTGGAGATCCTGCTCAGAACCCATCAAAACCCAGCATAGCAGAACACCTGACTCCCTGACCATTGCCTAATGCCCAGCAGGTATGTTTTTGGAAGTTGTCAGGGCACTGGGTTGGCCTAGTCAATGCTGCCCTCATCATAGGGAGCAGGCTACCTGGTCCCATTGCCTGGCTTTGCCTCCAGGTGCCTCTAGACTGGGAGTACTGCTCTGCTCCATACATCAAATTGAGAGCCAGTGCCTCTCACCAGAACTCCTTACCTTCTGTTCTATTTCTGGTCTACTTCATACTGATTTGGACAGCTAGGGTCCCACTGTTGACAGTGACCACCTCTGTCCAGAAGATTTCATGCTCTATCCTTCCTGCGGTGCTGGCTTCTGCTTGGAATTGGCTTATTATAGTCCTTGACCAGTTTCCTGTTCTAGCTGCAGCCCCATATACATACCCCAAACACAAATAGGGCCTGTTGTCCAGCTTCAGTGTTCTCCAGAAATCACCTGATTCTGACTCTGCTAGTCCTGTCCCCACAGCTGAGGTACAGCAAGTTTGACAGTTAGAAATAGATGAAAAAAGGTGTCCTGGGTTGAAGGAACAGCAGGAACAAAGACATGGAAGCATGGAAATAGACCTGATAAAATATGACTGGAGCATCAAGTGCCTGTGGAGAGACAGAGGGAATGGGGGGAGGTAGCAGGAGATCAAGCTTAAAAGTAGTTGAGAGCCATGTCACTGTGCTGGAAATGTCAAAATGATATGCATCACTTACACAGCTGCTTTAAGGAAGCTGTCCCACTCCTGGCCCCTCCTACCCATGTAACCACCATATTTATGCCAATGACTTCAATCCGAGCCAATCAGTTCCCCCTCTCAGGACACAGCACTAAGTATGGAGAGAATGAGGCCATTCACCATGATAGGCGAAGCCCAATGGAGATCCTGAGGGGATTCCCCAGTCTTCCTCATCTCAGTCAAGGGCAGCCCCATCTACCAGTCTCTGGACTCAAAATCCCAAATCTTCCCTGACTCCTCCTATCTTACCCATCTCACATTTGATCCACCAGCAAAACTAGACAGCTCTACCTTTAAAACAGTTTCCAAATTTAGCCATGTCTGATGATCTGCATTATACCATCTCAATCCAAGCCTTCAGATGATCCTTCACCTGGATTTGCAACAAAAAAGTTCTAATTGGTCTTCCTATTTATACCTTTGCCCCACCCACCACAGTCTATTCTCCCCCCAGCGGCAGAGTGACCCTCCAATATGTAAAGCAGATCATGTTCCTCCTCTGCTCAGAGCCGTCCAGTGGCTCCCCTTCTCCCTCAAAGTCAAAATGCTAAAACTGATCTACAAAGCCCTACATGTTTTGGCTGTCAGCTCTACCATCCCTACCCTCCCTTCTCCCCACCACAGCTCTTAACTCACCTCCCATTACCTCCCCCAGCTCACTGTGCTCTGAGCCCACTAGCCTCTGTGCTTCAATTATACAAAGCAGAATGACCCTAATAAGTCTTCCCAAAATATTTGCGCTTCATGTACTTTTGTCTGCAGACAGCCCTGTGACTGGATCCCCACTTCCTTAAGGTCTCTGCTCCAGTGTTACCTTATCAACAAGGCCTTCCCTCATCAACAAATAAAATAACATACATCTCACCACTCTCTGTTCCCTTCCCTTGCTTCTCCACACTTTACCACCACCTGACAGATTACGTTTTATTGGTTTATGTCCTGTCTTCTCCCAATAGAATGTGAGCTCCATGAGGACAGATTTTTATCTATTCTGTTTGCTGCTGTGTCCCCATTGCCTGGGTCAGTGGTTGACACACAGGAGATGTTCAACAAATATATGATGGACAAAGCAAAAAACGGAGTGATGAGGAAGAAGAAATAATGAGTAAGCCAGAGGCTGAGGCAGGGCAGAGAAACACAGAGTAGAGGGAGATATGTGGTAAGAACCTGCAATCACGTGGAAGGGGAATGACCCACAGACTGAGTCGCTAACGAGAAGAAAGAGGGCAGATGCTGTTCCTACTTCTGCTGCAGCCCAGTGGTTCGAAACTCATGAGCACAGAACTCCTTGAATAACTCCCACCATTACCTGGGGTGACTCTCTATTCCTTATAACCCAAAGCACCTACCATAGTCCCCATGGGGTCATCAAGTGTACATCTTCCTTCCAGTGAGAAACTGTCTCCCCACCATCCTGTGTAGTCCTTGTAGGACTGTCCATCAGAGTGCTACATCAATTAGAGGAGCCATCAGGTCCCAACCATAGATGTGGGCCCAAGACCTACTACACCTGGCCAATGGGAACCCCATGTCCCTGTCCAAAGCACATAGACCTCAAGTTAGGAACAATCAGAGTCTTTTCAGAAGGCTTGTTATTGGGTACAAGAAGTGAGAGGGCCTTCTCTTCCTTTGGACTGTGAGCTGCAATGATGAAGGCTCTGGGCCCCTAAGGACGCCCCCTCACCATATGGAGAGTGCAGTCACACTCCAAGTCTGGCAGGGACATGCAGAGCTAAGAGATAGAGAGATAAACAGCTTTGATTGTATCATTCGAACCTCTAGAGCCAGCTAGGCCTGAAGCAAGACTACATTTGGACTTCCAAAATCATAAGCCAGTACGTTCTTCTTTTCACTAAAGCAAATGTGTTGAATGTCTGTCAATTGCAATCAAAAAGTTTTTGACTTAGGGCTGGCCGAGTGGCGCGATGGTTAAGAACTGGCTTGGGATGCCAGAGGGCCCTGGTTCGGATCCCACATATGAGGGCCAGTGACACT